TATTATATATATTGCTCATGAAGCAATTTCAAGATTATATCTAAACTGTAATGTGAGCACTACTTAAGAGAAGATAACTAAAGAGATATCTCATTTAATATAAAATTCTTCAACACCATACTTGCTATCAATTTCCTGAGTTCTGCGAGAGCCTGAGCTCTATTTTCTTCAGTTTCATTTAGTTCTTCCTCTGGTTTTTTTGTCATCCAATCAGTCAGGTAACCCATCTTGTAAGGCAAGAAACCATTAGCTGCCATCCTATTGTCATAGCTCCTTTCCATAGTTGATAATCGTTACCTAATAATAAGATAGTCGAAAGATGAGCACTGGTAATTTTAAGCATCTACTGAATACAGCGACTGTAACTAACCCTACACAGTGACTATGCACAACTATATTATGCATTCCGTAGTTCAAGTAATATTTTTCTAGTGGTAGAAAAGTTTAAGCAGTTAAGTGTATAAGGTTCTATAGACGAAAGCTTAAGATCTTAAATAATAAGTAAAATTCATGTTAAAAAAATAATCAGTGTACTAAAAAGTAAAATTAATTGAGAACTTGTACTCACATAAGAGCGTAAAAAATCGTCTTACTATTATTGATACCAATGGTGCTTAATATTGATAATAGGCACTACTAGCATTATGGTTATTGGTACAGTTTAAATATGTACCAAATATACTCTTATATAGGTTCAATGTATTTTATGAGTGAAATTGGAGATGTTAGCCGTACTAATACTTTGAATTTTTATGCTAAATTTTAAGCGCCCCTCGAAGCTATAAGCACAGGAAAAAGTAACTTGATTGTGGAAAATGTTAAATATAATGAGTTGGCTCGAGAAACAGCATTATGCCTGATGATAAGGAATAAAGATAATCTTTATTTCCATAGTATGAACTACTAAATTCGTGTTTTGCTTAATCTAATAACGTAAAACCACTGAAAAGGGTAACAAATTATAAAGGAAAAACATTGGAATTATTTTAGCTTTACTATTGATGTCGATATTTATTTTTCCGTTTTGCTCATGAATTTATTTTTCAACACTGATTTATTAATGCCAATTTTTTCACCCTTGACGAAGAACATGTATTCAGCTAGTATATAATATATGAATGATCTTCAACTATTCATAAAATAAAGAATTCAATGTGTGAAGCAAGTAAGTGACTTTTTCAGAGCATCAACAATCAGCGTAGGGAGAAAAAAAAGCGACATCCGAGCTATTTCATTACATGTTGATAAGAAGGCGGGACTAATAATTATTTGCCTTATTTTATTCAAAGATTGAATAAAGTATTTCCAGTCTTTGGAGGAAGTTAAAGTTAATGTACTTTATTACTATGCATTTTCAATTTAAGAAAAAATGAAATTTAATTTATCTAAATTTTTTCTGCAAAACTCAAAATGTTACATTAGAAGTAGCACAGACGTAGATTTTGCAGAAAATGATATGTATGCATTCCTGCAGATTTCATTATTTTATTAATTATTCAAGTACAAAGCGTCAATTATCGAACTCTTAAAAAAAGAAAACTATAAGATTTTGAAGCATTCTCATCGGTTACAAACTAATAATTATTTCATTTTATTAATTTTAAAGGTAAACTTTTAAACAAACTTAACCATAGTAAAACTCGTTGAAAAAGATTTTAATGGCAAAGAAAGAAAACCTGCATAATCGATAAAACTTTTAGAATAGGTTATTAAAAATAATTTTAATATCCTATTATTTTAATAGCATCAACGTATATTATAAGAGATAGGAATATAAGAATGATTTTAACATGAGAAGCTTGCTGAGTTACAGAAATGCAACTTACGTATTTTCAGAATCAACCAGTGATAAAGTATAAAAAATAGAATTCACTAAAAACTAATTTCACTTTTTTCTCAGAAATAGCACTGCCTACAAAAGTTTTAGTTGTTTAAATCAATTTGTTGGTTATTGTATCCTTAATAATTGAAATCAATTTGACGTCTTTATATTTCTGGATTCTTTGTAAGAACTTCATATGTTCTCGCTTACAAGCAAATTTATTCAATGTAGTCACTTAAAAGGATTAATTTGTTTGAAATTCTTGATAAGTGTCAGTTCTGAATCAAGTCTCTTTTAAAATGTTAATTATTTCCTCAACAGTCAACGCTTTCCTTTTAATTTTTTTTTAAATTTTTTTTTATTGACAGGCGTGTCTTAAAGAAGAGGAAATTATTACTTTATGAATCTCTCGACAATTGGACAACTTTAAATAAATTAAAGTAACATACCTGCCAACTTTAACCATTTTTACAAAGGGTATTTTCTAGTCGTTGCAACTTTTATGCTTACTCTGCGTTAAAAAATTTTATTTGAAATTATTTTAACGTGTACAATATAAGGAATTTAAAACAAAAATATCTAAGAAACCTGAAAATTATGCTTTAGCTGTATAAATGTCTGACAAGATATAAGAAAAAAAATTTTAAATTATAAAGACGCTTCCTTGGTAACCTTTTTCAACGCTTATAGCCGGCATAAACGCTTATTCTTGTTCGATTTCATTTCAGTTCATTCTATAATTTATAGTTATTTATTCTATCACATTCCTTAGGCTTATAATATACATAGACTATTATTCATGATGCATTACTTTCAGAAACCAGCAACCCCATCATGTGACTCGTTCTCCGGTTCGCTGTTATCCAATCAAAGCATTTCCAGACCCCCTCTCCTGTTTGCTCTAAGAACTGTCGTGATTCTTGGTTTAGTCGCCGCGTGAAGAGAAGAGGTTCATTCTTTTCAGAAAAGAAACATTTTATTTTGTCTATCTCTTGTCTGCCTATCTCTGAAAAATGAAAAGGACTTGATTTTTGATTTTTTTTTTTTCAGTCGTTTGTTATATCGTAAGTCGATATTTTTTCACCCTTCCAATTATTATTACTATTTGTTTTCTGCATTCGATGGCTCCATAACAATATCAAGGTTTTATAAATAACTATAAAAAACTTAGTATTTTTTTATTCACAACAATGAAATTTATGCACGGATATGAAAGATATATAACATAATTGATTCATACATTAAGTTCTGTAAAATAAAATGTTCCTAAACAATAGCTTACTAATTAATTAAGCATAATCTATTTTTTATCACTTTCAGAATCAGTATAAAAACAATTTATCATTTTATGTATACAATATATGTTAATTTTCATTCATTATTTTTTTTATTTCATGTTAATATAATTTCTTGAACTGTCAATAAACTAATCTATCATGCACCAACTTGTTTCTTTGAATGAAAAATTAGTTGCTTATTAATCAATGAATAATAAAATATCTATAGAAATACTTACGCTTTAGAACAGTTCTACATTTACCCATTCTTAGTTGGGTGATATATATTAAAAAAGGGAAGCTAAATCTAACATATTTTTCCCTTTCACGTGATTTAAAATGTATGGAAATTATTTTTAAATATAGTTTATGTAAGTAAATATACATAACAATACCTAGTTCAGGTGAATAAACATCAAATATTCCTAAATTCTTTATCCATTCATTTTAGAAGTCATATATTTAAAATTATTCGCTTGTTTAAAAGTGAACCTCTTTCATTGCAGAGGATGCATTAATTTTAAAAGTAAGCACAATGTATTATAATTACAAATTAAAAAAATTATTAAAACTTAATATATAAACTAGTATTTTAATAATTTCCTTAATTTAGAATCAGATAATGAAACGAAAAGCTAAGCTCTAATCTCTAAACTCAGTACGAATTCTAGGATTCAAATATAATTATTGCTTAAAACCAATAACCAATGAGATCTGATTACGTAAGTAATTAGATGAGGTCTGATCTGTTAGTGTTCATTTTATTTCAGCTTTTAAAGTTTGTAGTGGCTATATAATTTTTCTTGGACAAACATTAAACTTAAAATCATTCATCATATTGTATTTATGTTTTAACAAATTGAAAGAACTAATTTCATTAGCTGCAATTATAAGTAAAATAAATAAATTTTTGCTAAAAATATTGTTGCTCAATTAAGAAATGCAAATATGCATAATAATATAAATACATGAATGTGAATAATCTGTATTAGTTGAAATAAAAAAATGACCAATTAACTAAAAAGCAAAGCTTATGGAGTAACGGTACTTTTTCATTTTGGGGATTATATTATTTTTGATGCCAACAGCTCACCATGTGGGTCATTCTCACGAAAACTGTCAGTTTTCAGTTCATAAAATCCCAAAAAAGTAAAATGAATAAAAAGTTCTGAAACTTTTTATATTAATAGAAATATGTAATGGCATTATAAAGAAAGTATATATCCTATAAATTATACTTAATATTTAAATTAATTAATTTTTTAAATAATTAATTTATAATTAATTAATTTATAATAATTAATAATTAATTAATTAATTTAATAAATAAATTAATTAATTTAATAAATTAATTTATTAATTTTTTAATTTATTTTTCAAATTAATTAATAAGTAAATTAATTATTTTCACTATTTAAAAAGTGAGGGAATGACACTAATAGTGAGGGAATGATATTTTATTTTAATACATGTTTTTATCTAAGTTACATCTACCTAAAGTTTGAAAATGATAACATACTAAGTATATCTAATATTTATTATAATTTAGTCTTATATATTTAATAGTTTTTACAGGTTTGGGAAATAAAATTGGCTGGCACGATTGAACAAAAAAAAATTTAATAATATACTCATCTTGAATCATTCCCTCACTTCAGCGTCATTCCCTCACTTTATACACTAGTGAGGGAATGACGAATTCAATAAAATTTAAAAATAACAGTTAGGCCTAATTAATTTCTGAAGTCAATCACATACAATTATATTCATACAAGAAAGCAACATATAATTATCCACTTTCTCGATGAAGTTGTATTTTATTTTACTCTAAAAAATGACATGAGGGAATGACAAATGTAAAAAATTTTACCTGGTTTGATTCATTCAAATTTATTCCACAGCAAAGCTTCTTTAAGTTGAAGATGGAAACATACTGCAATTTTGTTCTATGATGCCAGTTGTTAACTTCTGAAGTTTTTATTAAAATATTTTTATTCTAAGAAGATTGCAGGTGATAAGAACATTGTTGTGAGGGAATGACGCGAAACACTGGGGACAAAGTTTAAAATAGTGCTGTGTTAATATTTTTATCAGAAATTAAATTTAAAATTGATTTTCTGAATTCTATATTTCAGTATTCTGAAATAAAAAACACGAATTTGTAAAAAAAAAATTTTTATTTCAGAAACAATTTTTTTCTTTTTTTAAATCAGCAGTGGGGACAAGTGAGGGAATGACATATTGGTATATTTTAATTACCTAAAATAAATAAAAAATAAAAATTGATAATTTTATTTTTATTCTTTTGTTAGCTTGCATTCTGAAGGACACTTTCCCTGAAAATTTTTTTTCGTAAGTTGTAAAACAAACATAAAATATACTGGGGACATGAAAATGACTGTTTTTGTGAGAATGACCCATATACAGTTGACGCTTATTTAATTCTTGTAATATGTGCTTGTAACTTGAGCTATAGCAATTGTTGATGTTTTAATAAGAATTTTAAAGCGGGTTTTCCGCAGCTTTAAAATTTTTTTTTCCTGTGTTAGCAAAATTTATGTATTAATAGTTTAATGAATTAAAATTGAAAGACCCTTATCAAGTTCTTAAAAGAATTCTATTTGCATACCTGCCAACTCTTGCGGTTTTCCCGGAAGATTTTTTTTTTCATATTTAAAGTGCAACCAAAATTCATGTTATTTCACTAAGCTTTTTGAATTATATTAATAATTATAAATGAGTTTGATCACCACTACATATAAATTACACTACATAACCACTACATTACAACAAATATATAAAAAGCATATCAGTCCTCACATTAGCGAATTTCAACCAGGTTAAAATATAAATATCTTTTTGGGTAAAACTGATTTTCGGTAATTGTTTTACTACCACTTAGAAAATCCATTCTCGAAAAGAATGAATGTTGACAGGTATGTATTTGTTTTTAAAATTTCGATTTTAGCTTGTTATGTAAAGCTATAAAAGGACCGAACGATTACTTATGCAAACTATTATATATGATTATTATGAATTAAACTTTATGCAAACGACTGTTTATGACGTCACTTGTTATAAGTGTCAAACGCAATATTATTCAGTGTTTATTAATAATTTTAATTTAAAATAATTTGGCAATGTAAAAGGATAGTTGTTCTAATGTTTCATAATAAAATGGTTGTTTTGATAGAACGCAGTTATTTATTTTAGAATTTTAAGATAATTTTATAGCTTTGATAAATCGGGTAGATTTATTGAAAGCACGAATCATAGCTTTCTTCCATTGATAAATATATTTTGCACAAAACTTACATGTTTAAGGGCTATGCAATAAGTACCAATTAAATTAATATAGGTATAAAGTATTTTGTTGATATATTTCATACCTGCCTACTCTTCCGGATTTTCCGGAAGATTTTATTTTCATATTTAAAGTGGAAGCAATACTTAGGTTATTCCAATTAACTTTTTGAATTATAATGATAATTATAAATGAGTTTGATTACCACTACATATAAATAATTACAATAAATATATAAAAGCAAAATAATCCTTGCTCCAGCGTATTTCAACAGGATCAAAATGTAAATATATTTTTCAGTCAAATTGTTCTTCGTTTGTTGTTTTACAACCCCTCTGAAAATCCATTCTCGGAAAGAGTGAAAGTTGGCAGGTATGATATTTGGTGATTATTAAGTTTATGAAGTATCTATTCACGTCGTCAGCTTAGGGAATATAGATACATCCGATGCAATCATCCAAATTTATCTAATCTTTAAATAATTTCTAATTAAAGATTAGAATTGAATTAATTTCTAATCTTAACAAAGCTTTAATGAACATTTATTTCCATACTTTGTTTCAATAATTTTTCTTGTACAAACTTAACTCGATTTAATATCACAGGATTAGTAAAGACTCACCATAAAATCAATTATTTTATATATTACTGTAGTTTCATCTAAACACAAATTTTGAAATTATACTGGGTTCAGGAAATAAGACTCGTGTATATATTTAAAGAAAACATTTATTAACACGAAACACAACTGATTTCAGACGCCCAACGTGTTCTCGTTAAATACAGCTGCTTGTAAAAGAATACGTAAAAAGCAAATATCAAATTACGTCACAGCATTTATACTGTGAAGATCGAAACCACTTCAGTTCTCTTCACAAGAAATAATGATAGATGCAGAAGCGACGCCGCACGACATCCCAACGCAGACTGGAAGACAGTTACACGGAAAATTTCACGTGGTTAATTTTTATCTCAGACAGCTGAAATGCCGACTTCAATCTGTCTATGCTGTTACAGTCTGCTCGTGAGTTCCAATTTGTACGGTGAAGTGCTCTGAAGACTTAACTAGAACCAGATGTAGTCCGCTGTAAGGTGGAACAAGAGATCTCTTTAATTTATAATGTCGAAGAAAAACAAGAGTACAGTTATTAAGTTATTTACAAACAAAAACGCTTTTTCTTGCAATGTTGTGAAGCAGGAGTAGGTCACCAAGGCCTAACTTTATTTTTCAAAAATGTAAGAAGCTCAATGTTAGTTAAATTTATAGAGTTAGAAAAAAAAATCTCCGGGCAAAGTTATAGGTGTACCATAAACCATCTCATTAGCAGAACACAGAAAATGCTCTTTTATTGAAGCTTGGATGTCCAGTAATATTGAAGGTAAAACTAAATTCCAACAATCTGTTGAATGAGCACGAATTGCACTCTTCAATTACCTGAAATCTCTCTACCATCCCGTTTGACTGAGGATGATAAGGTGTGGCAAACACAAGTTTAATACGAAGAAGGCTAGAAAATTCTTGGAATAAATTACTCTTAAATTGACTTCCCTTGTCTGTTGTAAGCCTCTCAGAATCACCAAATCTTGCGACACAGTTGGAAAAAAATTCAAAAGCAACTGCCTCTGCCTTAATGTCCCATTGAGATATAACTTCAGGTCATCCAGAAAACAAATTCAAGCATGCTAAGCAATAAATATAACCTCGAGAAGGAGGGAGGGGTCCCAACAAATCAATATGAATATGATTGAATTTCTAACGAGGTTAGGGATATGTACCAGGAGGACTTACCACATCTCGTTGCATCTTACTTTTTGACATGCTTCTCAGCATCGAGACCATTCAGCTACTCCCCTCTTGTAGTTAGGTCACACGTAACGTTCTCCAGTCAACTTGACAATAGCTGTTACACCAGGGTGGGATAATTCATGAGGAGTTTTAAATATTTTATGACGATAGTCTGCAGGTACGTATGGACAACATCTTCCCTCAGAAACGTCGCAGAAGAGTTATGTTTCCATACCTGGAACCGTGACAAAATTCAATTTTAATGATTTATTAAAATTGAATGATTATTTGATTATTTTTAGAGTCTAAACCAAGACTATAAGAGTCTAAGCCAAGAAGTTTCTTATCAATCGACTGAAGTTTAGCAAACTCTTTATAATCTATCTCCGATACTCTGGATAAACCATCTGCCACAACATTAAGTGAACCCGCTATATAACGCACATCCGTCGAAAACTGACCGTTCCAATCAAGATGCCGAATTTGATGCCGGGAACATTTCTCATGCTTTTGAGTTAAAGCGAAAATTTAAGGTTTATGATCGGTATAAATTGAAAACTCGTGACCTTCCAACACGTAAGAAAAATTCCGAGCAGACGCGTAAATAACCAATAATTCGCGATCATACACACTATAACGCTGTTAACTTGGAGTAAGATTACGCGAATAAAATGCCTGAGGTTTGAACTCATCACCCTCTTTCTGGCTTAGACCCGATCCAATAGCCCGATCTGAAGAAACACATATCAAAGATAATTCCTCATTTTGAAATGGATGCACTAACATAGTTGATTCACTTAAACTATCCTTGCATTTTCAAAAGCAATCTTAGCTTTGTCAGTCCAAATTATAGGCCGGTTATAGTTTTTCTCAGCCCCTTTAAGATAATTAGACAGTATTGATTGCTCACGTGTAGCGTTTCCAAAAAACCTTTGTTAAAAATTAGAACTAAAAATCGCTTTAACTCTTTAACAATTTTAGGTTATTGATATTCTTTTATTGCCTTAACTCTGTCTAGTAACGGTTGAATTCCTTTTTCATAAATCAAATATCGCAAAAAATTAACAGATGATTGTCCAAAAACACATTTTTCTGAATTTAAAACTAGTCCATATTTTTAAAATCTATGAAAAATTTCCTATAAATGTTTCAAATGCTCATTTTCATTTTCAGATGCTACAAGTACATCGACGAGATAAGGAAAACAAAAATCTAATTATCCGAGAATCTCATATGCGGAAGAATCTCATATGCGGAGAAATGTTTGCGCGGCATTACACAACCCAAAAGACCAAGAAAGGAATTCAAGTAATCCAAACGAAGTAATTACAGCTGCTTTTGATACATCCTCAGCAGCAACTGGAATCTGATGATAAGCTCTAACAAGATCTATAGTCGAAAATATCTTTTTATTATTAAGGACTTATTTATTAGATACATATATATTATTTATTATATACATATATATTATTTATTAGATACATATATATTATTTATTGGATACATATAAACAAATTATTACATACAGAAAAAACATTTGAGATTCAAGATAAATTTCTAATTAATGCGTCAAAGTACTTCATATGAGTTATATTTGAAGAGTATAAAAAGTTCAACTTCTTATTCGTTTTATAAACATATTATGTAAATATTTACATTTTGTTAATAATAGTAATTTCTTATTCTCACTGATGGAGCTTTGCACAGCAACGTAATTAAAATTCCGATTTAATTCAGACGCTCATTCTTCGTTATTAAATATATTTTTCTGTTATTAAGCATTTTGTTATAACTTATGCAACTCACTTTTCTTATATGGATTTAAAGAAATTTGGATTCACGAAGGAATGAATGAATTACCATTAACAGCGAGATTTTTTTATTTCCCACATTATATCAAAAATTCTGAAGCATGTCACTGAATTTTTTCTAAAGCTAATCTCCTTTTTTAACAAAGTCAATAGTTATCGCCACCGTATTCAGGATTCCTTAGGTATGTACTTTGTTTCATATCGCTCCCATGGAAGTGGATCTGTAAATAAAATAAATAATAAAAAAACACTTATATTAAGACTATCATTAAGCAAGTTCGTTTTATGTAAGAACATGTTATTCCTTTCAAAACACTGCAAAAATAGGTGTAAACTAAATAAGGACATATTGAAAAACGTTAATCAAACTAAAAAAAAAACAGAAAAAAGTTTAAAATAAATTCGAAATTTCATTTTGAATTTAGGAATCAACGTCGTGCTTGATGTATAAAATACAATCGAGGCCACTTTTCATTTTTTGTAAGTATGGATTTCCACAGTAATAATGAAATAAAACTGAAAAAAAAAGACATTTTTATATTTAATGGGGAACTATGGGGAACCGAAATTATTTATATTTAGTAGTGGCTAAAATCATTGTAAAACACATTAATTTGTTATGCCGGGATAAACTGGTTGGTAGGGAGTTGGGCCCATGTCCAAGAGGTCGTGAGTTCAATCCCAGGCGGCTGAAGTCTCCCCGTGTAGTAAATGGGGACTGGTGAACGCTAAATCTTTTGGGTCACAAAGTCCTCCATGTTTCCATAACAAACCAATACCTCAGGGGGGTACTGAATGGGAGATAGATCGTTCTCTGGTTCAAGTCGAAATTACGATCAGTGGATGAATCAATGTGTTCTCCAAATAAACTCGCTGTGAGGTGTGAGCTGCTAAAGTTATATTCTTGGCTATAGATTAAAACAACAACTGCCTTAAATTCGCTTGGTTTCACGCTTAATGGCATTGAGAAGTGGTTATTAGAAGCAATAACAATAATTTTTTTTATTGCTTTACTCAGCAACCAAATTTCATAAATTTTTGAAAATTAGGTAGCCTGCAAAAACAAATGAATATTTGGCATAAAAATTAGTTAGTACCAATTTTTAGTATTGGTAGAATCAGATTCATGTAAATCATCATTCGGGAATTGTATTCTGTTTTTAAATAATTCACTGCTGAAAAATTCATGTTGTACACGTGCAGTCAAATCTAATCCAAAATTTAAGAAATAAATAAGACATGGTTAGAAGATAGGGCTCATTTGTGCCTGGAAAAAATTGAAAAGTGGTAGTAATATGAATATATTTTTTTAATAATATTACAGGATTCCCCCTTGATCTGTAAAAAATAAATGAGTGGTAGCTAAGATTTGTCAAGACTACTAAAAAATGCTTAAATTTGTCTTTCATTTGTGAATTGAGAAATTATTCCTGATTAATTTTATGCACCCATATATATTAACTTTAAATTTTATATTTATTGATAGCTTTAAACATCTAGATATAGCTCGCTTTTGGTACTACTTCAAAAAAAAAAATTACAGACCATGGGTATTATAATTGTAAAATGTTAAATGGTACAACGATTGTTATAGCAACTAAATTTTAAAAGCCAGCTATTCATAACTTTGTATTCTTCCCTCCTATTTTAAAGGGATAAATCCTAATTCGATGAAAGGGTAGATCTCTTTAGAAAAAGCGCATTTCTTTTTTCAAAATAAGCATATAGCTACGATAACAGTTATCTGTTATACATATCGCGTTCCGGCAAGAAAAGTGACGCAAGTAAGAACGCAGCATTTGAGAAAAATAAACTTGAAGAATATTATAAAACTTATTCTGAAATAGCACAATCTAGAGATGAGACACATTTTGAGCTTGATGGGGCACTTCATACACATTTTTTTTATTGACATAACCTCAAAATTGTTGTTTTTTGACTTGTGTCACTTTTCGTGCCAGGGTGCGAAATTTTAGAGAATTCTTTGAGATATAGAGCTTTTCCAGAATAAGAATCTCATCACCCGTTTAAAAGTTATTGCTGGTCACCCGTTTTTTTTAAATTTTGGTTTGTTTTATTATATTTTATTTAGCTAACTGCACAACGTTTTTTAAAAAAATCGGAATACATTTTGGAAGAAAATGCATCTAACTTCATACATGCATAAGCTTATAAATTTCAGACTCCAGTTTAGGTTTGGAGCCAAAAAATAAAATGGTATTTTTGGTTTTGGTAACGTTTTTCGTATGAAAAATTATGCTTTTAGTACAAGACTAATATATAATAGTTGATTCATTATCAATATCTCATAATGCACTTTCATAATACTCTACAGCAGTGATTCTCAACCTTTTTTTTTGTTGCGGCACACTTTCAACGATTTCGATATTTGACGGCACACAATGAAAAAAATTAGATTAATGGTTGTTTAACTACCTATTTTACACTGTGTTAAATAGTTTGTGATAATAATTTTGAGTGTGAAATAAAATAATATGTACTACAAAAGCACATGTATTAAGGGTTTAATTATTTCTTTCGATCAATTTTTTATTAGTTAGTAACAGTTATTTATTTTTTTGCTAGTTATTAATTGTTAGCTTGTTTTCTATAGTTATTAACTGTTAGTTTTTTTTACATTAACTGTTAGTTTTTGTGATTTCTTGTTAACTAGTTTTTTTGCTAATTATTAATTGTTAGCTTATTTTTTTGTCAGTTATTCTTTGTCAATTTAGTTTTTATATATTTGTTTTTTTAGTTTTCCTTTGTTAATCTGTTTATTAATTGCATAGCTTACTTTAATGATTAGCTCTTCCAACATTTTTTAAAATTGAGTGTCATATACAATTTAAACACTTCCATCTTATTTTAAGATTGTAAGAGACAAGACAATCGCCGACAAGATGTTAAAGCGTGGAAAAAAAAATTATAAAAAGTATATATATATATATATATATATGTGCACTTTCTTTTATGTTAAACTTTACTCATAATAAAAAAAGCATTATAATTTTTATTGTATCATTTCTAATATTTGGCGGCACACAAAAATGCCACGGCACATTGGTTGAGAATCACTGCTCTACAGTTTACTTTAAATGCGATGCTAGTGCTTAAAAAATCATAAATCAGGTGTAATTAATAAAAAAAATTACAAATTTCACATAATATTAAAATTAAATTCCATACCTATTTATACTTTAGAGGAAATAAAACTCAACAGCATACCTGCCAACTCTTCCGGAAGATTTTATTTTTATATTTAAAGTGGTAGTAATTATATACTATTTTTTTCTTTTATAATCTTAATTTTTAAATGATATTGATCACCACTATTCTTACAAAAATTAAGCACATATATTAATATGCGTTACTGTCAAGGTTGTCAACTTAAGTTTTCTCAAATACAACGTATTTGTTTGCTTAAAATTGAAGTTTTAATTCCATTTTAATACCACTGGGAAAAATAATAATGGAAGGGATTAAAAGTTGGCAGGTATGCTATAGCTTACATAATAAAGAATTACAATCTTACCCTATTCCTTATTTTTTCAGATAGGAAGATCTTCAAGATGTTGAATAAATATCTAAGTGCAGGTGATTCATTGACAAGGTGAATAGCATTGAATCGAATGGGCAACGTATTCTATAAATAAAGATGCAATTTTTTTTACTTACTTTATAAGAATAATGACTTTTAACTTATATGAGATATTTGAATATACTTTTCCAGCTACTGGAAAACTGGATGAACTTTTTTTGACTCACTGCCCACTTTACAGGAAAAATGTTATGCAAACTTTATTGAACTTTAAAAAAATAGCGATTATTATACAATTTAAAAAGAAAATTTGCTATAGTCTTTATTTTCAATGTGGAACACTGTTATTTATACCGTTAATTTAGTAAGAAATTTCTAATATCCCATGATTTTATCTTTGACAATTTTAACACGTTCACGCCGGGTGTTGCGCCTGAAAACGGGTCGGAAAAGAAAAAATACTGATAGAAGAACTATTTCAATATTAGATAATATTCGGGAAGTGTTAATCTATTCTCAACAATAACAATTCACTGTAAGGAAATTTATCACGGCGACGAATCAATTCAATATAAAATTTGCATCCGTTAAAAACAATTGGTAGTTATGGATTTTTATTATTCCCGGAAAAAAACTAAAAAATGAAATTTATTTGCTAACAGTTTTTACTCCGGTGCGCCGCCCGATGAGACTATCTAGCGTGACCCACCGGTGGGTTAACAAGCGTGTTAAACCACTTGAGCGTGTTAAACAAATTTGTTATAAAAACAGCCTTTAATGAAGAAATTAATGTTTGTTTGTAAACATCTAAGTAGAGCATAAAATAGCCATTTCAGGACTGGCCAAATTTCAACGCTTTTTGTAAAACTTTAATCTAGTGGTAGCTATGTTTATGTTTTAATCTTTTATTCATTTAAGCTTATTTTTCACACCACTACCTATAAATATTTTAAAAGTTCATATCCAACGCCTTTATTTTCCATCTCTGTCGTGGTGAAGCTTTTAACATGTTGGAAAAATTTCCAATATAAAGATTGCCACCATAATGATGCATAATACAAAATGTTTTCATACACTGTGTACTAATTTCATGATGCATGGGTTAGGGGCCGTTGCGCGGCCTAGGCACCCAATTTGATTTAAATAAGGAAAGAAAAAGATAAAGACTCATAACATAAGATTTAATGTTCCTACGCCCTGCGAGCATATGGCAAACTATACTCGATGAATCAGTTAGTGGCGCTTCGCCCCAAACACCGAGATTCCACTCATATCGAGCAACCAAGATAAAGTAGATACTGTTGAATAGTTTGAAAAAAAAGAATGAGTAAACTCCTCCCGAAAACTAGCTATAACTGAAATGGTTTTCCTACCAGCCTTTCCTCGTTTCCGTCTCTCTTTCACCCCTGCCTGCCATTCAATAAAATGTTTTACAAAAAGCGTAGTGATTGGCTTTCCTGCTTTTTAATATTACTTTGGCTATGAGTAAGGATTGTGTTCATGATGAATAAAAAAAAATTCAAAATGGTTTATTAAAACTTCAACAAAATTAGTTTGAATTTTGAGAAGCAGAAAAAGTGACTGCAAACTTCATAGTGAAAAAAAGAATTGTGTAGAACAGCAAGAAAAGGGTTACTTTCACTAAAAAATTGATTATCTTTTTCTCAATAAATCTCTGAATTGATAATGCCTTTAATTACTTGGATTTTACGCAGAATTAACCCATTCCTAGCCAAGGAGATTTAGAATCACAGCCAGTGTCTTTAGGAAAAACAATGGTAAGATACCTAAGCTTAAATTAAGTAGAGAATTTGCAACAATAGTTACCATTTTAGTTTTTAAAAGTTTGTGATCATACAATTTCAAATAAAATTCATACTATATAACCGATTAAAGGCCTACGCTCCAAGTATCTATTTTCAGAATGATAAAGGCTCATAACTCAGCATTTCATGTTTGAAAATTACTTGGATGTTACAAAATATTCGTGCTTAACATAATTAATTATAATTATAAATATAGATATTGTACAAAATAACATAAACTTTTATATTAACTATATCGAAAAATAGTTCCTCTTAGCAATAATTGTATTGGAAGGTTATACAAAGCAAAACTGTTGGTACAATTGGAAAGATTGTGATTGGAGCTTTTCAGAAATTATGTCATTTTCAGGGCTGCCTAAGTTCAATGCCATTTGTAAACAAATTTCACAGTCGCAGCTAAATATATTTTGAAATTTTTGATTCTTTATTTCGTAAATTTGATTTATAGTTATTTTCCCCACTACTACATGTAAATGATTCAAAAGCTCAAATGAGACACCACTTAATTACCAGCTCCCTACCCCAAGGAATATGTAGTATGATTAAGACTAGCGTGGTGAGCAACCCAGAAGACTAGTAGTTATTCAACCACGACACCTGGGTCACCACTGTAACAGAGCTCATAACACAATTTTCTCTCATTAATTATTCCCCTATTGTATATATTTATTTTATTTTTCTTATTTTTTGTTCAATTTGCATTGATTATCGAGAGTTGTAAATATGTATATATTTTATATTTAACCCGACCTTCCTTAATATTTTTGATCATCATAATCTTCATGATTATTATATTTTATATTGATTATGATTATATTGTCATTTAATTATACCCCATGCAACTCTACATTTCATGCTTGTCTATGTCACACGAACCCCTCTCGATTTTTTGGTGCTGAGCACTCTCTTCCTCCCATCTCCGTTCCTCCTCACTACTCCCCATCATCGATTATTACAACCGACGAATCGGTTAATGTCGCTTCGCGGCAGCGTACCGAAATTTAAGTGATTTCTACTGTTCTACCAGCTCCCTCGTGATAAAGCTTTTTAAAAGTTGGAGAAATTACAAAAAAAAATTTATAGAAACTGAGTTTTTAATTGTCCACCATTCTATAAAATATTTTGTTAAAATCGTAGTAGTTGTCAGCCCTGCAGTTTTTTTCCTCGCGAAGTTCAAAATGAGTGTTATAAGTGTGGAAAGTTAATTAATTTCTTCTAGATTTTATACCACCAGTAAGTTTGAAATCATTAGACCCTTACAAAAATAAGTTGTTTTGAGATGGACAGATGTATAAAACTACACATGAAGTAGAAACTGCAGTTTGGTTTTGCATCAAAAATAACCTTATCAATAAACTTCAATTTCAATCTCATTTAGGTCTCACAAAATCAACCTCTTATATAACTCTAAAAATAATTTCTGTTTAGAATGGGAGAAATTAATTACACTTCAAATATACGTATTTGCTTAAAGTGTAGAAAAAAGAATAAGTACGCTTGAAAAACAGACTCCCTAAGCTGGTTGTTCTTAAGTAGATTTCCATCAACCTCAAAACAACCTCAAGTGTGAATAAAACAACTTCATACACCTTGATTATACACCTTGGGAGGTTGATCTTTTAATGTTGTTTTTGAAATCAACTTCGAATAAACCTCAAATCAACCTTGACACCTCGAAGAAACCTATAAAATACCTTGTAAGGAGTTTTACATTTGTACTTGTTATTCAATACCAGCACTGGTGGGCTCTGCCTGATTCATGGTTACTTAATATGACTCATAGAGACAAGGACATGGCTGGGCAATAGAATGGCTGGGAATAAAGGCAATATCGTTACGTGGCCGGTGTGCCCACCTCCCTCACGGCTGTCTGCACATTCTGGTGGATTGCTTCCCGGTTTCACCAATCTTATATACAGGATTGCCAACTGCTCCACTATCTGGAAGAGTTTTAATAAATTGGCAGCGAATTAAATAGTAAAACTTGCAAAATTTTACTACCCAAACTTTTCATAGGAAAAAATACCATAATTTCTAAACGCCTCCATCGAGATTTTTAAATGTATGCGAAAAGTTTGGTCATTTAACATTTGCTGCTTATAAAAAAATTTGTTTTACAGCAATTAGAGTCAGCATAGAAGTGTTTTCATTAAATAGATCAAGTAATGTATGTATATTTTGATATGAAATTAAGCCATTGTGATATTTGAAATTGAAGTAATAGTCAACATTGGAAAACATCTGATTTGTTTAAGCAGAAATGTTTCACCTTTTTTCCCATAAAGTTCTTTCTACATCAAAACAAAATGTCGCATTTTCGCAAGAATAGTCTTGAAAGGGTTAATCAAATTAGATGGGCTTGAACTTTTTATATCTACGAAATACTTTTATGAAATTAAACATTCAACTTCTGGATCTTAATTGATTTTAAAATGAATAAAAAAAGAATTGTTACCGAAATGAGAGATTTGGCGCTTGCTAGAATAAATACGTATTGATTTTTCGATAAAAAAACGAAATAAGATTATTAGTTTTCAAGTGCACTTTATATTGAAAATATTTTCTTCAGCAATTTTTTGCAAATCCTCTAATAAGTTCCGATGGAACTGCAGGTGAAGGCTAGTTCAAAGCGATATCGGAAATTTCAATATCGTTGTATATCTTCAAGAAATATTGATATCTAATTTAATATTATCTCTATAACTAATTTACATGTTTTTTATAGTGGGCAAAGTTCTTTAGTTCAAATGAAAAAGGGCCATTTTCTTCTAGAACCCTTTTAATAATGATAATTTTAAAAAAATAACCGAGTAATTGTGGAAGATTAACGATATCGAAATTGAGAGATAGCTAAAACATTGCTTTTGTGTTGTTATATAAATAAAACTGCACATTTTTATGCACTAAAATAATATGTTTCTGTGTTGACGCCCGGCTGCTGAGCGGTAGCGCTTCGCGCTGTCGTGCCACAGGTCCCTGGTTCGATCCTCGGGCCGGGCAAGGTTGACTCAGCCTTTCATTCCTTCAGTGGGTCGATAAATGAGTACCAAGCATGCTTGGGAGCTAAACACTGGGGGTTCCCCGTTCGGCTGACCAACTGTCCGGAACATCTGCTCCTACACCCCAGAGCGCAAGGTCAAGAAAACTGAGATGGGCACAGTAGGCCTTGGCCCTCTATGGGCTGTCGCGCCACTGAGTTTAGCCGGGTTGATCTTGATTACTGATTTGAATCGAGAGAAAGGAGATAAGAAAATACAGTTTGACTAGATAATAATAATAAATAATGATATTTTAATGACGTGAGATATTGAATTTATTCTAATTTAATTATTTTTCCCAGTTTTGGAATAGTTCACAGTTTTAAATGAAAAATTTTTTCAACAAAAAATAAATAAACAAAATAAAAACTTAATTCTGGAAATACATTTAAAGATTTCAAAATGTAGTTATAAATATTACAACAAAAATGCTTTTCTGAAAGTTTACGTTAAAAAAGAAAAGATGATGTGTAAATGCCATTTTATTTAAAAAAAACCAAAAAAAAATATTTCTTCCGTGAAATAAAAGAAAATTTAATCACTCTGCTTCTAATGCTTTTCACAGAACACCAAAAAAAATTGAAATTAATTTTTATTTTACAATTATTTTATAAACTTGCAGATGAAATAACTGTATAATAAACTATTTTATGAGCTGTCAGATAACTTGTATTTTTAAATTTTATTATCTTTAAACTTAAAAAACTATATTATCATTAAACTTAAAAGACTATCTTTTGACCCAGTTTTGAAAGCTTTGAGAGCCATTATTTTGAAAATTGATCAAAAATGTGAAATTATGATAGTTGTATTTTTTTATTGGTGTGATTTTTATTTTATTACATTGAAGTAAGTTACGAAAAATGATCGAGTCACGCAAGTTTATAAGTTTGATCTCCTAAAAGAAATGATCTTCAATTTCAAATTCAAAGTCATTTCCTTAAAAGTGAAATATAATTACGTTTTGAGGGGTTTGTCTAAAGAAAGAAACAACATATCAAAGTTTTGTTTTAAGTTCATCTAACGCTTCCTAGTTGAGGACATGAACTCGTTTCTTTGCAATGTTGCTTTTCATAGTTATGCTCCTCCAAAGTTAGTAAAAAATTCGGTTTTTGACTTTCTTCTGTCAATAAAATCTTGGATAAACAACAGCACCCCAATAATTTCTTTACTAAATATTGAAATTCACTATTAAGGCAAGTTCTGTGACCTAGAAAATTTTAGAGTTACTGGTGCTCTAGTAGATATAGCCTTTCAAATTTCGAATAATGCTATTGTAACACAGAAATCATTAGGAAAGTCAAACAGATACCAATTGAGCTTGAAATTAAAATACATAAATGAAAATGGATTGGTCATGTTCTACGTAAACCTGAAAGATTTTGATAGGAACCCTCAGGGCAAATGAAAAAGAGGAAGACGAAAAAAAATAGTTATTGCAGGATGATTGTAAACGAATTGAAAACAACAGGAAAGATACGGAGATAGGCAAACTATCTGGCCACAAATGGATGACAAAAGCCCTATATTCAAATTCGGAGTGAAGAGGAATATAAATGTGTCTGTATACATTAGGGTAAGCTCTATGACAGAGTGCTTTCCTGGATTACTGATGTTTTTAGTACATACAGCCTTACAAGCTATCAAAAAATGCAAAATCTGCATTTTTTAAAATTTAGCTTTCAGCTTTTAATTAAATTCAGTTTTTAATTTTTTTTAAAATTTAGCTTAGAATTAACACTCAAGAAAATTAACTATACCATCCTGTCGGTAAACGTATCTACTAACAAGTTTGAGAAAACATGAATGGGATCTCATCCCATTTTTAAGAAGAAAAATTACCAAAGTTGCATATAAATTCTATGTTAAAAATCGCACATCCTTCCCCCTTTCTGAGACAGTAATGATGGTTCTTCAACTTAAAAATTAGTGGAAATTAAAAGATTTGATAAAAATTCTATCCGTAATTAAAATGATATAATTATGGAAGAAAAACTCTTAGACGTTCTCTTGCTCATACATTTAGCCTCCGCGTTTTTGTGGCCAATCATTTCTCCAAGATAAAGTATGTCATTAAATGAATATCTTAAGGCCTATGAATAAATTCTAAAATACAACCATAAAAACTTAAAAAAGTTATATATTCTTTTCATAACTGCCCAACCATCATAAACACTATGAAAGGATACAAACTTCTTTCATTTAAATCTCAGAGATGCAAGTTCTGGGATTTACTTGACTAAATTGATTGATTAAATTTAAATAATGTAAATAATACTAATACTACTAATAATATATAATTATAATATATAATTATAATATAAAATAATATATAATGTAAACATTAATTATTTCAGGTTATAATTATATAAAGCACAGAGCTTGACACAGAACGTGTTCACCTGTTGCCCTGGCCACCACGTTCTCTTTATCTCTCACCAATTGAAAACGTCTGGTCGATGGTTGCCGAATGACTGGCACGCCACCACTCGTCAGTCACTTCGGTCGATGAACTATGGCATAATGTTGAAACTGCATGGAGTGCTATACCCGTTCATGCTATCCAATCTCTGTTCGACTCGATGACGAGGAGAATAACAGCTGTCATTGTTGCCAGGAGAGGCTGCTCTGAGTACTGATTCCTCAAGATCTATACATCCAAATAACCTGAAAATTTAATCACTTGTTCTTCCAACTATAATGTATGTGGCCAATAGATATCATTCTGCATTCCTTTCTGGTGCAGCATTTTAATGACCAGTAGTGTATACGTAACTTTTGAAAAATTCAATAAGCATATTTTATTTGTATAATTTTAAAATTTAAGCTTTTCTCGCAAGAAAATAGTTAGATTCCCAAGACAACCATGTGAATTTTTGCTTGGTCTATTTTACTTCCGAAATACAGCAAAACAACTGCGAGATTATAATTCTTCATGGAATTGGAATGGATACACAGAAAGTGAGGCAAAGATTCTCCCCAAAACATCAACAATTAAAATTCAGCATTGCATGATGCAAGATTTTTCAACTAGGTAAAATACAAAAGTTCATTAGGAAAGTACTAAGTTTGATAATTGATTCAGAAACAGAAGTAAATATTCCCGAAGTTTTGAAATCCATATTCTGTAATATAAGTGATTTCAGTATCATTAAATCAGATAGCTTTTTTAGTTGATTACATGTGATATCCCGAAAAAAATAGCTGATATCTGAAACAGCGATTTGTGGGAAAATGCATTAGATTCTGGCAAAAAGGAAAAAGATTTTAATACTGGAATATGATTACTTGAAAAAGAGTGAATGATTCTTGTGTAAAAAGAAATGCCCATTTGCCCCATTTTACCCCATTGCTTTTTTAGACTCTTTAAATTTTATTTTAATACTGTTACTAAGTCACACTAAGAGATGAGCAAATATTAGAAGATAAATAACAGGGCTAATATTTTTTATTCATTTCATTATACAAATGCAATACTATTTGCAATATATACTTCATACAAATACATTTCTAAGAAAACCATGTTTTCTCAGGTTTTTTTTTTTTTTTGGCATACCACTTTGGTTTCTTTTTTGTAATTATATATTTCAATTACGCGCACAGTTCTTATAAAATCTCTTTGTGTTAGCTTATTTTGAAACGGAAGAATCATCGTTACTGTCTCAAAAATGAGGAGGAATGTGACTTTTAACTTAGCAACTTTGGTAATTTTTTCTTGAAAATAGGGTAAGGTCCCAATGCTTTTTTTTTCAACCTGTTAGTAGATACATTTCTCTACCAGTTGGTATAGTTTTTATTTTTGAACGACGTTGACGTTTCGAGAAAAGTCAAATAAAAAATGCAGATTTTACATTTTTTGAAGTTTAAAAGGCTGTACATGCTGAAAGTAGCAAAAACTGAGGAACATGCAGGTCATGAGCTTTTTCTAATTTTGAACTTTGATATTCAGTAAAAAAAATAATGGGGAGCTGTTGTTTAGATTTTAAGATCAGAAATAAGTCTAAGACCAAATTTTTCCCCAGCTTTGACAATGCATAATTCTGGAAAAGTAACAAGGCGCTGTGGAAACGAGTGCATGTCTACTACAAGGCAGTGATATACTAACAATATAGCAAAACAAAACTTTAGGGGATTATTGCTTTCCTTAGATAAACCCTTTAAAACATACTTATATTTAACTTTTAAAGAAATTACCTTGAACTTTAAAATTCTCTGCAACTATTACGCATTGTATATTACAACTATTACACATTGAAGTTCAAAATAATGTCTCTTATTAATAATATTTTTCAGTAAATATTTTTTTTAATAAATATATTTTATTTTTACTCTTACAAATTAATGGTATTTTCATTGGAGCCAACTTCAGTTCAACTACGGCTAGTCTTTTTTTAAATTCCTTCTGAAAAAATACTGTATTACGGTATTTTTTTTACATCAAACTAGATAATGGGCTATTGGCAAACTGCACAATGGGCTATTGGCGTTTCTTTGGTCTCACTTTTATGATTTTAGTAATATTCCTGTTATTGATTTTGAATACTGGTAAAGCATTGTTAACTTTCGTATTTTTAAAAATTTTATTTTTGTTAACTTTTATGATTTTAATAATATTCTTGATATTGATTTTGAATACTCGTAAAACTTTGTTAACTTTTGTATTTTTGAAATTTTCATCTTTATTGGAGAGGGTATTTTTCTACTGATTATTGGCATACCACCAAGTACCAATTTCTCAAGCAATATAGCTAATCTTTTTCTACACTACTTTGAAAAAAAATTCTGTGATTTTTATAAGGAACGACTTCAAATTTATTAATGACTTTATTATATTTAATTGTATAGATTTTATTAATATTCTACAATTAAATATATTAATCACAATTTATCCAGAGGAATTTACTAAGAGGTAAAAACTAATCAATGTAATGTAACTTCAGATTTTCTTGATTTATTCATTACATTGAACTGCTATAACGCTCTAATTGTTGTTTTTGAAAGAAATTATTTTCCATTTCCATTCAACAAGATTAATTTGTTGAAATTCTAATTGATTTATTAGTATCAATAGAAATGTTATATCACAAATTAATCGTGTTAAGTTTTTGGGAATAATGATATACATGTTCTAAAAAATACTGTAAATCTCCACGTAAAGTTCTCTTGAATAATGGTATCCGGATTGGATTTATAGAAAGGTACCTGATTTAATAGAGGAATGCAGGTAAAGTGATGCATAGCTATATGCTTATGGAAGGGCCAACCAAGCTTTCAGTTACTGTTGGATCACCACTAAACATTATCGGGAACTTGTCTGTATTTCCAATTGATTAATTTAATTTAGTTTAATTAATTTTAATTTTTATAAAATTTGTTTTTTATCTCATCCCTGTCTTGAAAAAACTTGTTTTCTTTATTAGATAGCTTTTTGTTTTCCATCTTTGTACACATGCTAATTTATACTCGAATAAATATACTAATTTGTTAATCGAACCAACTACTTTTTAATCTACTCCGAAAAAGTCACTTTACCATCTATTGATTTATGCACTTCTACTTCGATTTTTAGGATTATAATATATTATCTTCATTTGCCTTACTTTATGTTTCTTTTTGTCTTTCTTCGGGCGAGTGGCTATTTGAAGTATTTTATCGCCAACCGAAGAAACTGCTTCCAAACTGACTCCATAGTACTGCCTCCTGATGTAGCTGCCATGTCTGTCAATACTTCTAATTTACTTTATTTTCTATTTTAGTGTTGTTTTTCTTAGGATGTTATTTCCGGTTATTAAGGTCATAACATATGGGTAATAACTTATTTTGTTTTATTTCCTTATGCTATCCAGGCCTTCATATTATTCAACCCTTGTAATTTTTAAATTCAGTAAATTTCCTAGTTTTTTATAATTCTTATCAAGCAATAGTAATTCAGAAAAACTAACATGTCTTAGTTTTTTTTTATTATTTGTATCGTGCATAACAGTTAACAAACTTACGGATGGAATACTTCTGAACACTTACGAATATAATATTTCTAAACCTTAGTTTGTTTTAAGTTTTGATGTCACGATTATAACTATAAGCTCAAGCGTAGTTTCGGATCATACAGTGGATGAACTTATTACCATTTGTAATAAATTATATCAAGTTTATATAAAATGTTTATGTAATGCCTTTTATGTATATATCTTCTAGCAAATCATATTTAATTGAATGCATCTACATGGACAAATTGGCATATTCTGATATTATAGCCTACCATCATTTAGCATCAAGCTTATGTGCAAATGCACAATCACTACAAATTTTTGTTGGAATCATTTTTGACAACTGTTATTGAATAATCATATATATAGTTGATACTAACAATTCCACAAATGTAAATCGTGCTTCAAATATAAATCTCCGTGTATGTAATTTTCCCACTTCACATTATTTTCTTGTATCATATTAGTGTCTTTCTTATATTATCTCATGCAATGTATTTGTTTATCCAGATGTATTTTCATAATATGTAATGTCTAGCCACGCTTCTGTATGGTCACTATTTTTGACGCTCAGCTCCCATGGGTCTTACATGTCAATAGTTAATATTTTATGACAGTTTCACAATGTCTGAAGACGTTTATTTCTCTAAAACATTGTAAAGTAATAAATAAACAATAAAATTACGGATCCTGAAGGGAGAAGAGACCAGACGTTGGGCCCAGTTCTGGCGGCGTTGCAGATACTAGGATAGGCTCGTGGTTGGGGAATCCTCGGGGGAAGCGTGGTATGTCGCCGTTGTAACTATCTGTTTACGTTTTCCTGGTCACAGTATTTTTTTCTGATAGATGTCCCCTCTGGTGGCATAGGCGCTGTGTGCTCATGTATATATATATATATATATATATATACTATGCACCCATNTATATATATATATGCATACGGGGTGATTAATTAACACCTCCTTCATTGCCAGAAAACTTGTCAATGATCCTACTTATTCGAAGTATTTTTGAGCATAACTTTATAAATCTAAAACTGATCACGCGAAGATGACTCAGTTTAAGTTCACCACCATACACAACGTGAACTCCACAAACTTGAGTAGCTGGATCTTCTAAAAGAGACAGTAGCAAAGCTGTCGGTGATAAGACAGCTAACTCTGGAGAAATTTGATCAATATCCTAATTGGCTGGAGAGAGAACACGACAAGACACAATGAGAACATAAAAATATCAAAATTATAAAATGTCAAAAAAAAAAAAAAAGTTTTGCATTATACTTTAACAACTAAATACAAAATATCTGTATGTATACTGCTCCTCCCCTATAGTGGGAAAAAATCTTTGTTTTCAGAGAGGACCTCTTTACGGAAGATCCCAAATGGCTAGACATTGAAGTGCACATAGTTGTTAAGTTAACGCTCAACTATAAAATTTGTACACTTTAATCAGCACTTTACTGCACAACATGTCTTATATTCTATTGTTACATTATAAGAAAGCACTCCCTTTTGCGGAAATAATCATTTGGGCTGATGAAGAGATTTTAACTTTTCATTTTTTTGTGCTTCGGCTTTTTAATAAATATTTTTTAATATTTTTCTTATTTTATTGTAATAACTTTCCTTCTTCTCTTTTCATTAATCTTTATTATTTCCCATGTTTTCTCTATAATTTTATAAAAAGATAGTCTGCATCTCTTTTATTAGTCTTTGTAACTCACTCTTGTCATCATATTTACCTTTATCTTACACATAATAAGTCTTTTTAATCTAATTATATTTCTCTGATAATAATTATTTGAAACATCGATTTAGCAGCTGTTTATTAATCTGTGTATTGTGCGACAGTCTGCTAAAAACTCCAAAAATATTAAAAAAGGATGGTTTCTGTTTAGATAAATGTGAGTAAGTGATTAAATAGATTTACTACATTTATTGTGAAACTGAGAATTAATTGTCTATAATTCTCCAATAGATAATTTAGATTAATCCCGACCCTAGGTCGGTCTGATTAGGACTGAAGTAATGTGACCAAGAATCCAGAGGAGACAACTTGTATTCATTAAATAAAAAAAGCATATTTTATTCAGTTTTAAATTAAATGCATATTATTAGTATAAAAGTTACAGGATTAGAAATTATTAATTTCTATGAATTATAAGGATATTTAAAAGGGGGTATTTTAAATTAAGTGTCATAATGAGGAGGAGGCCTTGAAAATCAACAAGAGAAAACACTAATTAAGAACATTCTCACCATACATCTCGGGAAGGGGGTGCTTTGTCGATATTCCTTCACGTCTTCCTTTCGCTACATCAAGTTAGCCACCTTCCGCCTTCTTCCCCTTTTTCCATCTTCTTCCTAGGAAACCTCTGGTCCCTTCTCCAGCGAGGTTGTTACCTTGATCCCCACCCGCAGATCATTGGTCAAGAAACCTTAAAAGAAATAAAGAACGACAGGGCGACGATTGCTCTTGTCGCCCGACTACCTGGCTTTGACGGCAAATTCCACCCCCTTTTTCTCACGCTTGCCTGGCCTCCTCCCTTTACAGTAAATATTCTTAAAAGTGACCATGTCACTACCACAGAGTTAATGAGGGTCATAGTAACAGAATATATAAATTCGTTAATGCCTAAGTTTAGATTTATAACTAATTCCTGAGAGCAGGTAAAATTTTAGAAATCTAAAAAAACAACATGTTCTTACAAATAAAATCATTCTTAGCTAATAAGCTAAAAAATTGTGCGTGGAGTCCCTCCGCGCGGAAGAAGTTAAACTTCGTAACCTGCGACGTTAATTGTAGAAGAATCAGCAGTCGTAGAAGGATCACTAGTTCTATTCAACGACTCTTTTCCTGCTCCGCTCGCTTCCGTGCTCTGTAATCACGCTAATATTGTGCATTTTTCCCTCGTGGACCTCTTGAACCAGTGGAAGTGCTTGTGGTTGCCTCATCGTCTCGCCATGGAAAATGTATTTGTATTAATAATGTATGTGAATGCGTCATAATGTAATTTCAGAAGACAAAAACCTAACAATCAATTGATATTCACAAGAGACGTACCTTGACATAACCTTAAATCCGTCGCATTGTCCGTGGGATTGTGTTCTCACTCATTTTTTACTATTGTTATCCACTAAATTTGAAAATAAAAAATACTATCCTATTAAATTATATGTGTATCAAATCAGACTAAAAAAATATTTATAGCGAAACAATACTTTTATGACTTTTATTATTTTTATGGTAGTGAGAACCAAAACAATATGGAAATGAATGAGGGAAAACTGGATCCTGCCACGTGATTTCCCGGCCAATAAAAATGTAGCGTTAAACGTTTAACGCAACCTTGTTGGAAGTCGCATAAGAAGTATAACTTCAAAAATTTTGTTTTTATGAATCAATCCCAATCCCAAAAATTATTTTAGCGTTACACTACTAGAAATAATGGCGCTAGGAATAGTTAGACATCAAAAAGTTTATGAATGACAATATTGCTCTTACTCCCCACATTTTATAAAAACGACGACGCTCCCATCTTTATGTTTAAAAGGAAAAACACCCCCAACATTTGCCTCACATATAGTATCTGCTAAGCTTGGGTCAAGTTGCTTTGGAAATACATCAGGATTATCCTTAAACATTGTATATAAATTGCGAATGAGTTCCATCGCTCTTTCTGGTTCAAATTTTCTTGCTCGTAGGAACTGCAACAAGTGAAAATCATCAGTCCAAATATCCAGGTTTCTTTCTTCTGCAATAGGACATATTTGAATAATGTTATAAGGTTAGAAATTATATTATGCATAATTAAAAAATAACGAGACTTTTAATTGTAGACTATTTAAAATAATACTCATTCATTTTAGCTATTGTATCAGAAGTCAGTTGGAGTTGGTTCTTTAGCTCTGTTTTATAATAAACAACAGTAGATGCATTTTTAGTTTTTTTGAAATTTATGTTTTTTTTTTTTATATATTTATTTATTTTTTGAATGTCGAACATATGTGCATTCTAAAATTTGTCTTGGTATTGTAAACACATATTTGAAATCCAGTAGTAAACTGGAAATATTTAACGCATTCCATTTTGCAAAATGAGCTTATACGAGTTTCTTTCAAGAAAAGAAAGTGCTTTATGAAAAAATTAAAATATCCTTAGGAAAAATGATCTCAAGTAAATTCGATTCGCGTGTGCGAGTGAGTCATCAAATATTTGAAAAAAATTATTAGGAATTATGGTTCTTCACTGTGAATGCGTACTTAAAAAAGGAATTCCATTTATAAAAAAGATTCTGTAATTTTGGAGGGGGGGGGGGGAAATTGTTATGAAAATGGTTTTCTTGTTTTTAAATTTTTCACATAATTTTCACCACTGTTTATATTTATCTTAAAAATGGTATTGTCTTTTAATAGTATTTATTTTGATGATTAATGATTTTATTTATTTTAATCCATACTTTTGTTCAAATAATAATTTCAAAATACTTCACGATTATAAAAGTAATTAGTGTTTAAATAGCAAAAATAATTACAGATTTTGATTACGATTTTTTAAATTTTTTTTCACATTCTTGATGCTTAAATTGATAATTTTTTTAATATATGTTGAGTTTATTCACATTGTTTAACAGTATGTTTATTTTTACAATTTGAAAATATTTTCGAAATAAATTAAAATTATTGAAAATTTCCGTTAAGAAAATTTTCCTTTTGATTCAATTGATTATATCAATTAGCATAAAATTGTTTAGGGGAATTATTTTTTATTGCTCGATCTGTTATAGTATATATGATTTATTGATTTTAAGATAAAAACTTAATTTTTTTTAATAAAGTGTTTAAGATAAATAAGCAATTAAAATATTTGAATTTTTTTCATTTTGAATGTAATATTTAAATACTAAAATTTATTTTTACGATTTTCCCTAACTTTTATCAAGGAGTACTTTGATTTTGTGTTACTGGGATACTAGCTTTTCTTGAATCTGTTTAAATAACTATTAATTCCGTATAGCCTGGTGCCGGAAACCTGCTTATTTCCATTTCCCGGCGAGTGGATATATATATATATATTTATTTCTATATATTTATNATATATAGCCCTAAAGCATATAGGAAGCATTACTTTACAGCTTACAGCAGAGCAAAAGAGGCATTTCAAAATCAAAATAATTATCCTAAGATAAAAATCACTCTTTTATTGAAGGCACCCACTGCTCTAAATTAGTTATTACCTCCAAATCAATCTTTAAAACCTAAATAAATTATTAACAAATGAATGCTTCGTATATGCAAAAAATTTTTCGTTGAAAAAATAATTCCTGTAAGCTTATATATAATACAAATTTAAAGTCATCCCTAAATAGTGTAGGAACTACTTGACTTTAAGAGAAAATAACTTAAGCGATATTTCGTTTAAAATAAAATTACTTAACACCATACTTGCAATCAATTTCCTGAGTTCTGTGAGAGCTTGTGTACGATTCTCTTCAGTTTCATTCAATTCTTCCTCTGCTTTTTTCGCCATCCAATCTGTCAAGTAACCCATTCGGAAAGGCAAGTAAGAAGCAGCCATCCTACTTTCGTAACTACTTTCCACAGTTGATTGTTGTTAAATAATAATAAAAAAAACACAAATGTGAGCATTGTTATTTTAACCCTATAGTTGCAGACAGCGACAACGTATAACTAATACGGATTCCGTAGTTTCAGAAATATTTTTTTAATGTTAATGTAATGGTCATATTTATTTCAATAATTAGCATTTAAATTAATAGCAAGGTTAACGTGTTTATAAATCAATAAATTAGAGTTAAATGGATTCTGTTCCTCACTAAATACAAATATTTTAATGAGATGAATTTAAGGACTGATGCTTAATTAATAATCTAATAATATTTTTTTTTAAATAAATCTGTTTCAAAAAATACTATTTAAATTTACTTCCAACAGCCTCAAATAATTGAAAACTCTAAAAATATGACCATGATATATATATAGGGTTTACCGGCGATTTAGAAAAATATGGCGCAGAAAACGAAAGAAGATAAAATTTACAGCTTACCAAGATTGCTTGGGAGTTGACTTGATTATAACGGATACCACAGAAGACTTAGAATGTAAAAAGTGGTAAAAACTCTATTCATTTTTATATATTTCTTAACTGTTTCACATTCAATCTTAGCTACTGCTATGAGTTACATTTCAAATTATTGAAATTTAAATAAAATGCATAAATATTAGCTATTATTGGAAAAAGGTCGTAATGGCCTGAGACTCCCAGTTCCACTACAACGAACGAAATTTAAGCTACCATAGCCGGCATTATTACCGATGAAGGATTGGAGTGCCCGCTTCGCTGACAGGGACTCCGTAAATCCTTAGCGTTTATTTTCAACAAAATTTTTAAAAGTTGCTAATTTCAATCTCTATTAATTAAAACTCCAATATATTAATCACCATTTTCTGAATTTTTAGTAGCAGCCCCTGCTTATAGACACAAGGATTCAGAAAAACTATTTTACTGAGTGGAAAACAAATGAAAATTAAAACATTTAGAATTTTTAGTAGTTCAGGCAAAAGTTTTAAGACCTCACCACGAAGGACCCGGAAAAAATGACGTTTTAGATCATTTGCATGTAGTGGTGTGGAAAATAATTGCAAATCAATTTTACGATGCAAAGGATGACAACACTGGATTATAAACTTCGTTATCACTTAAGGAAATGTTCCCTTTAGTAGCTGAAAGTTGACAGCTCCCAAGATATATTTAATATATGTATGTTGGAGTTATTTTCAAATATTTTTAAATGAGGAGCCGAATGGATTAAGCAGGTAAGTGAACTTCGAAACGTCTGCAATCAGTGCAAGAAGAAAAATTGGTATCCGAACTAATTCATAATAGATTTTGGAGAAGGCTTTTATTTTTTTACTTTTTTTTTAATTCGAAGACAGAAAAAAATATTTTCAATCTTTGGATGTGTTTAAATTCCATGTACTTTATTACAATAAGTTTTCAAATTTCAAAAAAAGAGAAAAGTTTATTTTATCTCGTATTTTTCTGTAAGACTCAAAATCTAACATTATAAACAACACAGAGGAAGATTTTGTAGAAAATTATATACATGCATTGCTGTAAATTTCATTATTTTGTAAACATATATTAAAGAAAAAACAACGTTAATATACTTATTCTTTTAAAAAGTAAACTAGAAGTTTTTTAAATATTTTCATCCACCTCAAAACTTTAATAACTTCGCTTTATGAATTTAAAAATGTACTTTTAAATAAATATATCCTTAATAAAATTTATTTAAAAAGTTTAAGTGGGAAATAAAGAAAAAAACACTTAAGCAATGAAACTTTATAAATTGGTAAGCTAATAAAAAATTTAAAATAAAATCATCAATATATTTTAAAAGACTGATATGAAGTTCTTGTTTAAGTTATAATATTATAGTCATATTGAGCAATACCTACAGAAATGTTGATTACGTAATATCAAAATTAAGGAATATTAAAGAAAGAATAATAGAAAATTCTAAATAGTTAAAATCGATAAATCTCTTTACCTTTTATATCTTTATATATATATTTTTTTAAACTTCTTAAAGTTTCTGAATTCTACGTCAGAATTTCGATTGTTTTCTCGTTTAGCGATAGTGATATTTATTCAGCGTAGTCAATTCACGCACTTAATTCGTTTGAAATTTAAATTCTAGAATGTGAGTTCTAATCAACTTCTTTTTCGAATGGTAATTATTTCCTCAACAGACAACCTTTAAATTTTTTTTGCCAGACATGTAATAACGAGAAGGAAATTATCAGTGAATGAATTTTTTGATAGTTGAACAGTTTTAAAACAATAAAAGTAACTTACCTGCAACTTTCACAATTTGCACAAACGATATTTCTTTTATGCTGATTCTGAGTTTGAAAATTTGATTTAAAATTATTTTAACCACCGCTACGTCAAGAATTTTATTTTATAACCGTCTTTGAACAGCAGAGCCATTTTTTGGGTTTATGACTACTAATGTTCAATTCCGTATATATATATACATATATAT